GGCGCCAAACGAATAAGGGGGGGACCTAATGTCCTCCCCCTGGCCCTCACCCCTGAACGGTGGATGGGGGCCCTAAATTAGAATGGGGTGGGGACCTAATGTACTTGCCCCTGGCCCCCATCCCTGAGCGGTGGGTGGGGGCCCTAAATACTAATAGGGGGGGGGGACCTAATGTCCTCCCCCTGGCCCTCACCCCTGAACGGTGGATGGGGGCCCTAAATTAGAATGGGGTGGGGACCTAATGTACTTGCCCCTGGCCCCCATCCCTGAGTGGTGGGTGGGGGCCCTAAATACTAATAGGGGGGGGGACCTAATGTCCTCCCCCCGGTCCCCCACCCCTGGGCGGTGGGTGGGGGCACTAAATAAAAAATTAACCTCCCCCTCCCCCAGGTGAGTTCCCTCACTCAACTGGTGACCCCAGACTGACAGATGAGCTATGTGCAGCATTCTAAATTAGTGCTGGTCATAGCCCTTTAAATCCAATGAAATATGATAATGCTCAGCTGTGGTATTTCTTAGTGTGCCCTCAGCCTGGCAACTGCAAAAATCAGAGAACCCCAGGTATCGTTACATGCTTGAGGGTCCACTCTGTCAACATGGGCCACAATTAGTGTGTTCTAAGTGAGCGTGGCACATAGCACTTTAAATTAATTTGCATACCGCGGCTGAACGCAAGTAATTTTAAACTGCCCCCAGTATCAGGGAAAAGTCCTTGCATACCCCTTGCTCAGTGATCGTAGCTGGGCTTAAGTTGCATGTGTGTAAAAATTCTTGCATGTAAAACTGAAACTAAATTTACAAAAAAAATAAAAATTTTATTACTATTTAATATGGTGTTATGGACACATTTAGGGTTACCAAAAAATTATACATAAAATGTGTGAGTGATCTTAAACTGTAAAGGTGAAATTGTGTTAGAATGTGCAAGAGTGTCAAAAAGGCCTTGGTCACAACAGGATGGCATCACAAAATAGCTTTGGTCCTTAAGAAGATAAACACTGGTTGAAAACCACTATTCTATATTACATTATTACATAAATCAGTAATATTTAGTGTGTCAACTTCTTTTGTAATATCCATCTGATAAATGCATGTCAAAAGCTTGAATTTATAATTTTTTTATTTGGTGGCAAAATTGTCGCATCTTTTTATAATACAGATAATAGTGGATGTCCAAAACTATTTAACCTTACAGTAAATATGATATATAGACGTATCTGCTACTCTGCTCTATAATAGACATTTGCCTGTTTATAGCCCCGTGTTTTTTTTTTTATTATTTATTTAATTATAAAGTAATAAAATACTCACGTATTCATGATTTGGATGCTCATGTACTTTTATTATTAAAATGTTATTTTTTTATGAGTTATTTTTTTATGAGCACACGCACAGACATTTAAGTATAAGAAAAACATTATGCAGTGATATACAGATGGAATTTCTCTCTAAAGTGAAATATATGTTAATGTAGTGGGATCAATTTATCATCTTCTAACACTGCTTCACAATACATGAATCTTCAGTGGAGAAAGATCAGACTCGTATATCATTTCATAGACAGTCTCTCCTTCCTTTACACTGAGATTTGGGATTTTTTTTAACTAAACAGTCCTTTAACATTTATGTGAAATATCCAAGCTAAAAAAATACTAATTTATCCAAATAAGACATTTATTTTTCTTTCTAACTTGGCAATTGTGGCAGTAATTACCCTGTTGTTTTTAACCTCATACAATATATTGTGTACTTAAAGTGGTACTGTAGTGCCAGGAATACAAAGATGTATTCCTGGCACTACCAATCCCTCTGCCTCCCCCTCCCTTGCGTCCCCTCCTACCCAGTAAACAAAAGGTTTAAAACCCTTTATTTACTCACCTTATTCCAGCACCGATGTCCCTCGGCACTGGGTTGAAGCTTCGCCCCATCCTCCATCCTGCGACACGGGTATGTTCGGGTTGGAGTTCGGCGTTCGGCGATTTAATGGCGTGTTTTGAAAGGCTGCAGGGCAGCCAATCAACAAGCATTTGACTTGTGTGCCCTTAAAAGCCATCACAGTCATGCCTACTAATGGCATGGCTCTGATTGGCCAGTGCAGCATGTGACCCAGCCTCTATATATTAGCTGGAGTCACGTAGCGCCGCACGCACATGAGCTCTTATTAGTGTAGGGAGAGGATGCTGCAGCTGTGAGGGACAGATTAGGAAAGAATTCTGGTGTTGAATCTGCAAAATACAGCGATTATTTTTGTGGGTGCTATAATACTATATTTTTGTACTCTGCCCTGAGCCCAGTGCCACAGAGAGTGCAGTGCACTTGCATCTGCATGTGTGCCAGGCACATTACTTTAATCCTGTTCTGGTAGCTCAGTGGGCAACATCTAGGCATTTTTAAATACTGCAATTTTTTGGGTGCTAAATAGTACATATGGGGTGTGCACTTTATATTTGAGATTCAAATAGAACCATCAAATACTGTGGTTACAGCTCAGTTTTAAAAAATTCTAATTTTTGGGATGCTGAATAGTACATTTGCGGCCTGCGGTGCACTTCATATCTGAGAGTCAAATAGGACCGTCAAATACTGTGGTTACAGTGCAGTTTTAAAAATTCAAATTGTTTTGGTGCTAAATAGTACATTTGGGGCCTGCACTTCATATCTGAGAGTCAAATAGAACCGTCAAATACTGCTGTGACATAGCAGTTTTAAAAATCCCAATTTTTTAGGTGCTAAATAGTACATTTGGTGTGTGCACTTCATATCTGAGAGTCAAATAGAACCGTCAAATACTGTGGTTACAGCGCATTTTTAAACATTCAAATTGTTTTGGTGCTAAATAATACATTTGGGGCCTGCACTTCATATCTAAGAGTCAAATAGAACCGTCAAATACTGCTGTGACATAGCAGTTTTAAAAATTCTAAATCTCTAGGTGCTAAATAGTACATTTGGGTGTGCACTTCATATTTGAGAGTCAAATAGAACCTTCAAATACTGTGGTAACAGCGCAGTTTTAAAAATTAAAAAAAATTTGGGTGCTAAATAGACATTTGCGGCCTGCAGTGCACTTCATATCTGAGAGTCAAATAGAACCGTCAAATACTGTGGTTACAATGCAGTTTTAAAAATGAAAAAGTTTTAGGTGCTAAATAGTACATTTGGTGTGTGCACTTCAGATCTGTGAGTCAAATAGAACCATCAAATACTGCTGTGACATAGCAGTTTTAAAAATTCAAATAGTTTTGGTGCTAAATAGTACATTTGGGGCCTGCACTTCATATCTGAGAGTCAAATAGAACCGTCAAATACTGCTGTGACATAGCAGTTTTAAAAATTCTAAATCTCTAGGTGCTAAATAGTACATTTGGGTGTGCACTTCATATTTGAGAGTCAAATAGAACCTTCAAATACTGTGGTAACAGCGCAGTTTTAAAAATTTAAAAAAATTTGGGTGCTAAATAGACATTTGCGGCCTGCAGTGCACTTCATATCTGAGAGTCAAATAGAACCGTCAAATACTGTGGTTACAATGCAGTTTTAAAAATGAAAAAGTTTTAGGTGCTAAATAGTACATTTGGTGTGTGCACTTCAGATCTGTGAGTCAAATAGAACCATCAAATACTGCTGTGACATAGCAGTTTTAAAAATTCAAATAGTTTTGGTGCTAAATAGTACATTTGGGGCCTGCACTTCATATCTGAGAGTCAAATAGAACCGTCAAATACTGCTGTGACATTGCAGTTAGCCTAATTCACATTTTTTTGGTGCTAAAAAGTACATTTGTGGCGTGCGCTTCATATCTGAGAGTCAAATAGAACCATCAAATACTGTGGTTACATTGTAGTTTTAAACATTCAAATTTTTTAGGTGCTAAATAGTACATTTGGGGCCTGCACTTCATATCTGAGAGTCAAATAGAACCGCTGTGACATTGCAGTTTGCCTAATTCACATCTTTATGGTGCTAAAAAGTACATTTATGGCGTGCACTTCATATCTGAGAGTCAAATAAAACCGTCAAATACTGTGGTTACATCGTAGTTTTAAACATTCAAATTTTTTAGGTGCTAAATAGTACATTTGGTGCCTGCACTTCATATCTGAGAGTCAAATAGAACTGTCAAATACTAATGTGACATTGCAGTTTGACTAATTCAAATTTTTTTGGTGCTAAATAGTACATTTGGGGTGTGCTCTTCATATCTGAGAGTCAAATAGAACTGTCAAATACTGCTGTGACATAGCAGTTTTAAAAATTCTAATTCTTTAGGTGTTAAATAGTACATTTGGGGTGTGCACTTAATATCTGGTGTGTGTGTGCAACACTGGCTAGTTAACGCTTCTCAAGAGTCTAAAAACTTTTTTAAAAAGTGAAACATAAGTGTTATTGTGATCGCTTCATATACAGAAGCATTAATTAGAAGCATTAATACATTTCTATATTGTGTAAAGACACAACTACAAAGTTAAAAACCAAACACCAAAACAACGTGCCAGACAATCTACCTGTGCATGGTTAGTGTGATGCAATAAGTCTACATCTTAAAAATGCAATAACCTACAGAAGATGGGTCAGGATTTTTTTTTGCAAATGGAACTTTGATTCGAATTTACTACATCGGTCACTTGTAATATTGTTTCACACCTACAACACTTGTTAAACATATCTAAGTGATAGAAAACAGATTGATATTTTCTACACTAGAAACTACCAGATAACAAGCTGCTATATTTAAACCAATTATTAATAGCTAAGAGGTACTTAAACAATATTGTATTAGCTCTAGAATTACCACAGTTATCCAAGTAACATATGGAGCGATCAAAGGAACCATAACTGATTTAATGAGCCATTCGCAGTTTCACTGTAGCGGCTGTGCGCGCTTTCGGCATTCTCACCCTGCTGCTGCTCGCCTGTCTTCGCTGCAGCTTAACTTCGGCCTTCCCGCTCACCGCCTCATATGCGACGTGCCCACAAGGTGGAACTCAACCTTGCACATGCTGGAGAGACTGTGTGAGCAGCAGCAGGCGATAGTGGAGTTTCAGGGTCACGGGTCAGTCTTTCTGCCCTCCAATAGAACCTCGTTAAAGGATTTAAAGTGTACTCATTCCAATTACAGGGCCTGGAAAGAGTCCTGTATTGTTATTTATCGTCACTACCTCCCCGTTTCGGGAGTGGGTAATTTGCGCGCCTGCTGCTTTCTTTGGATGTGGTAGCCGTTTCTCAGGCTCCCTCTCCAGAATCGAACCCTGATTCCCCGTTACCCATGGTCACCATGGTAGGCGCAGAAAGTAACATCGAAGGTTGATAGGGCAGACATCCGAATGCGTCGTCGCCGCCACGGTCACTGCCTCCTCAACCTCCTACTCCACATCCATCTCCTCCTCCTAGAGCAGTGTGCAAAAGCGGAGCAGCCGTCCCCTAGACAATACGCCTGCTACTGCCCACCGCACCCAGGGACCGAGCACACCAAAGCCAGCTCCAAAGAGTTCCCTGGCGTGGCAGTTCGAACGAAGAGAACCCAGTAGATTCCTGTGGCACCTCCCGATAGGCAAACATGAGATGGGGCAGGAATCTCGCTCAATCCTTGTGAGTCACCGCAAAGGTACGGAGCATTTGCTTCAACGTACCGCTGAAGCGCTCACACAGGCCATTGGTCTGGGGGTGGTAAGGGGAGCTCAGGATTGGTTTAATGTGCACAATCTCCACAGTTGATGGGTCATTTCGGCAGTAAACTGGGTGCCCTGGTCTGAAAGAATCTCCCCGGGAAAACCCATCCGGGAGAACACTCGCATCAAGGCTTCAGCCACAGTCTCTGCCCGAATACTGCTCAGGGTACCGAGTCCAAGATGGTCAGAATGTACTTCTTCCCAGAGGGACTAGGCTTGGTAGGGGACCTATAATGTTGACAGCTACTCTGCCGAACGGATCTTCACTAATAGGTAGGGGATGGAGGCAGGCCCTGTGCCGGTCCCTTCTCTTCCCCACTCTCTGGCAGACATCTGGCAGTACTGCCTCAGAAGCTTTGGGTGAGCCGAGACGCTGTCCGGCTCCTGCCCAAATGCCCTGCCAAGGGGATATCGTGAGCTAGCTTCAGCAGCTCATACCAATACTTCTTGGGTCTGGGACTGGCGGTCTCTCACCAGCCGTGTCATTGGGGAGCCCATTGAAAAAGTGCTCTAGCATGACAAGCTGGGTGATCTCCTCCGGGAACTTGGCTTGATGGGAGTTGAGCCAGTTCTGGGTGGCCCTTGTGATGCGGCATGCCCACTCCGCATGGGAGTCCTTCTCCACTTTCCGGGTCTCCCTAAACGTTCGGTGGTATTGCTCAGGGGTGACCGCATACCGGGCCAGGAGGATTTGTGTAATAAAGGGATAGTCTCTGATCTGCTCTTCTGGTACAGCCCGGTAAATATCCGCTGCCTTCCCCACTAGTTTGCTGGCCAGGATGGTGACCCAGTCGCTGGTGTCCACATCTTGGAGTAGGCACTGGCGCTCAAAGTCTTGTAAAAAGTAATTGATGCCTTCTTCTGCTTCCTTGAACTCTTTGAAGGCATTGTATGGTAGCTTATGGGCCAGGGTGGTTGTGCTTCCTGGCGCCCTCTCCTCCCTTCTTCCTTCATTTGGGTTCATGGAGGTCGCCCTCTGTCTATTGGCAAGGACATAGGCTTGCACCTCCAAAAAGTTCCTGCTGATAAACTCCTCTGAGGGTGTCTCTCAGTAATATGCCAGGTACCAGTCCACCTCCTTGTGCACTTCCTACTCATTTTTGGCCCCTGGCTGGGGTTCATTGCCTCACTGCGTGCCTGGTCGTAATCCATGAGCGCAGCAGTCAATTTGGCCTTGTTACGCCCACCAGGCATTATTCCTCTGGCTCCACACAAGACCTGCAGTGTAGGTCGCTTTAGAGCACTGTAGTCCATGGGTCTGTTGGCAGGGACATGGGATCCCACCACTTGCCACCAATTGAAGCGGGACCTGGGTAACCAATGGTTATCCCCTTTGATTAGAATAGGTCAGACCCATTTCCCCAGTAACCGGATGGGACACAGTTCCAAGATACAATGTTTGACAATCTTTATTTGGGTACACAGCTTTGCCTCCTGTTGCCTCCTCCTCCTACTCCACTTCCTCCTCCTCTACCACCTCCTCATCTGGTCAGCGTAACACCTTCACCACCAACTTCAGCACAGCCAGGGGGAAACGACAGCAGGCTGTTTTAAAACTCATATGTTTGGGGGGAAAACCCCACACCGCGCAGGAGCTGTGGACAGGCATGGAACAACAGACCGATGAGTGGTTGTTGCCCCTGACCCTCAAGCCCGGCCTGGTGGTGTGCGATAATAGGCGAAATCTCATAGCAGCTCTGGGCCTAGCTGGTTTGACGCACATCCCTTGCCTGGCGCATGTGCTAAATTTGGTGGTGCAGAAATTCCTGAAAAACTACCCAGATATATCAGAGCTGCTGCAGAAAGTGCAGGCCGTCTTTCGGCGTTCTTACCCTGTTGCTGCTCGCCTGTCTGCGCTGCAGCGTAACTTCGGCCTTCCCGCTCACCGCCTCATATGCGATGTGCCCACAAGGTGGAACTCCACCGTGCACATGCTGGAGAGACTGTGCGAGCAGCAGCAGGCGATAGTGGAGTTTCAGCTGCAGCACGCATGGGTCAGTCGCTCTGCGGAAAAGCTGTGTGTGTGTATGAGGGGTGCTGTGTGGGGGTAGGGGTGCTGCGCTGTGGGGGGTAGGGGTGCTGTGTGTGTTGTGGGGGTGCTGTGTGGGGAATAGGGGTGCTGGAGTGGGGGTAGGGGTGCTGTGTGTGGGGAAGGGGTGGGGAGGGATGCTGATTGGAGGGGAGGGATACTGGGTGTGGGGAAGGGGAGGGATGCTGGGGAGGGGAGGGGTGCTGTGTGGGGGGGTAGGGGTAAAGGTTTTTTAAAAAAAATACCTTTAATGAAGGAGGGGGGACACAGCCATCCCTGGTAGTCCGGTGGTGGCAAGCACTGCTTCCGTGGCGGGAGGCAGGGGGAGGGATCTGTGAAACAGCTCCCCTGTCCTCCCGCGCAATGCTGTGTGGAGCTTTGCCATGATAACGCGTGGAAACGCTCCACACAGCTTGCTAGCGGGAGGACAGGGGAGCTGCTTCACAGATCCCTCCTCCTGGCTCCCGACACGGAAGCAGAGTAGGCGCCTGCCGTTTTGGGCAGGCAGGTGCCTACTCTGCATTGATGGCGAACCTATGGCCGCGTGCCCACAGAAAGGGCCCGGCGTGCCACCTGTGGCACGCGTGCCATAGGTTCACTGTCACTGATCTAGGGTTAACCCTGCCGAGAAACTGCTATGTTTACATATGGGTTAATCCAGCCTCTAGTGGCTGTCTCATTGACAGCCGCTAGAGGTGCTTCCATGCTTCTCACTGGGATTTTCACAGTGAGAAGACGCCAGTGTCCATAGGAAAGCATTGAGAATGCTTTCCTATGGACTGACTGAATGCGCGCATGGCTCTTGCCACGCATGCACATTCAGCCGATGACAGAAGGAGGAGGAGAGTCCCCAGCGCCGAGGGAGCCCTGCACTGGAGAATTGTAAGCTTTTAACCCCTTCCTCCCCCTTCAGCCTGGCAGGAAGGGGACCCAGAGGGTGGAGGTGGGACCCAAAGACCCTATAGTGCCAGGAAAACGAGTTTGTTTTCCTGTCACTATAGTGGTCCTTTAACATAAATCTATGTAGCTAATCCCACTTGACTCAGAATTGGATGTGGATTTCAAGTATTTCAAATGTAAACAGACAACTGATGGATCAGTGCTTGGTGACCAGATGATATATTAGAGACAGGCAGCAAAACCTAGGAGTATGAGGTTCCCTCAAAGACCGTCAAAGAAAAGAGTAGTATACAAAAGAACAATTATTACAATGCCCCACAGTTTTTTTTTTAATTGTGTGTTAAATTACTTTAAAAGTATTATTAAAAAATGTACTTACAGTAAAAAGCCAATCAGAAATGTTACAGTCCAAAATATAAGATATAGAAATTAGTAGGGAGTCCAATTTTGAGGTACAGGGATGATGAGATGTAGACCTATATTCGTGGAAGTCCTGGGATAGCTGTTTCTCTTGCTCTAGTTAAAACACAAGGTAAAAGAAAAAACTTTTACCTTGCCATCTTACCCTGAGAAACCTACCGAAAATACCATCACCAAGGTAATAAACTCACATTTGGGGGAGCTCTAACCAGCTCTGGTGTGAAGGGCGTATAGCGGTATAATCCCCACTAGAGGATATAGTGGAGAGGTGCATCCGTCAATCCGGTCTGATTTTTCAATGCTCCAGGATATATAAAAAACAGCAATAGAAAATACCATCACCTATATCCTACCAGTGGGGGATCAACGCCTGAGCTTGTACTAGCTCTAGAATAGGTGAGTAGGACCACTATGGTCACGTACCTGTGATATACTATACCCTTTTAGTTTTTTCTTTTACCTTATGTTTTAACCGAATCAAGAGAAACCGCTGTCCCAAGACTTCCATGACTTCCATGAACTGCAAGGAAGGGAAGACCATGGACAAAAATACTTAAAGGGATTCTATAGGCATCAAAACAACTTTTGCTTAACAAAGCAGTTCGGGTATATAGATCATGCCTCTGCAATTTCACTATTTTAATTAACTGCCATTTAGTAGTTAAATACCTTTGTGTTCCTCAAAAGAACCAAAAGTGTGTAAGTGCTATGGAATATGATACAGACAAAAAAGCAGCACTTAAACCAGTGATACAGAAAGATGTATACAAAATAAAAAGTTACCAAAAAAGGTGGCTGGATTAGTCTGTAAACATAGAAAGAGACAAATAGCAGTGCAGACTATCTGGACTAGACAAAAGTTAAAAAACAGGAGGGTATGAGGGAAAAAAACTCACATATATCTAAGTCACTTCAGAGGCAGACCAGGAAGCGGATCACGTGATCGGGACGGACGAAACCAGGAAGTGACTTTCGTTTTGCCGTTTTATATACTTTTATGTGGGTAGCTTTGCTAGCATAACCCACCACTAACCAAGTAAGGATTTTAACTTGTGTCTTTTAATAAATTACTTTTGATACTATTCAATTGGAGGTCCTGCCTCTCTCTATGCTCTATTTGCACAGCAT